CCAAAATCTGCCCTTTCCTTTTGCTTGTACGACCCCACCTTTAGTAGCAAAAAACTGAGACGTAGTAAATCCTATTAAGAGTACATTGTTTAAGTTTTAAATGTACATTTTTGTGTGTGTGTACACTACAGCAGTGCTTAATTTGAACTGGATCTGGGAACTCCCTTATTTTGACAGGGTGCGTTCCGGTAACTTTTTGCTTGGATCCGGTAACTCTCAGACTTACTAATAATAAAGTTGTGAACAAATATGACTGCCTTGAACTAGTAAAACTTCGATTGGATTTGTAAACTGAAAATAACATAAACACTAATTTTAAACATAACAGTCACTTACAAGCATAAGATCTGCATCTACAAGTAGCATTTCCGCCTCTACCCATAAAAAATCTCCGTCCCTAAAAAGGGTGGTGGTGGTGAGTGCTGAGCTAACCAGGCAGTCGCACGCGAGCAGGAGCCCACAGGCAGCTGCCAGGAACAGACGGAGGCGGCGCCTGGAGGTTTCACATGTGGAATCGGACAACAACAAGCAGGGACAGTGTCGGGCTTGGAACCGTCATGTACGTGTGGGGTGGGGTAGGATGCTTGACAGAAGTGGAGTGTTTACAAATGTAGGTAAACCTAGATGTTTAACAACCCATTAAAATGCACCAAGATGCAGGAAATTGCATCTACTTTATTAAAAATTTTCCGGGGGAGTACCCCCATCCCCGCACAGGCCCACCTATTTGCGTTCTAGCATTGATCGGTTTGCAAATTAAGCCCTGGTGTAGATTTTTTTATGATACCCTAAAACAGAACGGCCCCACTACAAGTAGCTCTTCCTGTTTTTGAGCTGCATATTATGGTGTCACTGCTGTAAAAATGACCAGAGAGTCCCGCTGGTAGATTTCTGCATGAATCAACACTCTGTGGGCCTCTGTGGACTGAAGGTGCAACAAAGTACAACACCAATGCTTACAATTTTAGAACATTGTTCTAAAACCTGCGTAAACAGGTGTTGGCAAAGCCTTTTCAAACGAGTAAAACTGCCCATATTTGAAGCTCTAATGCACACCCATACCATCAGAGAGGCAGCCTTTTAATCTGTGAGCTGATAAAAGGCTGGACGGTCCCTCTTCTTTGTAGTACAAACACAGTGGTTGTAGTTTCCAAAAAGAATTTCAAGTTTTGACCAACTATAGAAGACTTTCCCACTTTGCCTCAGTCTTTTTTATTTGTACACCAAAGTTCATGCTCAACCATCCAGGTACAAATCCAACAATGTTCAGTCAGGTCATCTGGACAGTTTCTTTTTTTGCTGAGACGCTTTGTCCTTCATCCAAAGGACTTCTTCAATCTGAGGAGCCACCAAGCAAACTGATTCCCACCATTTACGTTTAGTTGTTTGTTGAACCTGCTCGCACTTGTTTGGGATGCGTTGCTGCCGGCAACTTCACAATTATATTTTCCTCAACATGGTACTATTTCCTGAGAATGTAAAAGTACTTGCAAGTGTCCAAAAGAAAACCTACATGAGCTCATGTTATTATTACTGGAAGCTTCATGCGATGTCAAATCTAGTCCTTTCTAAAACAGGTCACAAAAGCTAGCCTCATAAATGATTATCAATACATTTAGCAAATGCTTATTCATCTATTGTGAGAAAAATAAAATCAATAGTTTTCTGTAAAGCCTTGCAGAATGTGAGTAAATGTGAACTTCAGAGTGGTCTTTTCAGACAAAAACAGCCTTTTAATGCAGTTTGAGTGATCAGTGATCCCACTCAGGTGAAGCTTTATCAAGGTCTTTCATGAAGGGAAGCAGCTGCCATCATTGTCTGGAAGAATATGGTGGTGGTTCCTATTTAATGAAATTATTGCATTCTGCATTAGATTTACAGTGAGGTAGGAACAAAGAAAAGTTCAGTCTTTAAAAATAGCTCTGTTTTATACAGAGCATAATCTAATATATACTTCAGCACATTGCAATGTTTCATAATTTTCAGCTTTTTGCAACAAGTTACCAACCAAATGGATGAAATATGTGCAGTAATGATGACCTAGATGAAAAAAGTACTAAAAATACAACAAAAGAAGTATATATTGCGGTATACTTGCAGTCAGACTGATCACTAGTACTTCAAATGTGTTAATACATAAAGTGTACTATTTTCATCAACCTGATTTTGTATTAAGTTCAATTCAGGTGTACATAAGTTGTAGGAAAGTGTAATCTAAGTATATTTGGTGCAGTTTTTTAATCTAGAAAATCTTAGAAGGAACCAGACTTATTGAAATTGGATTAAACAATTTAAGTGACAACGACGTAAATAATTGTGGCATCAGGAAGAGAAATTTCAGTAACATGCAGAATTGGAAACAACTGATTTCACTATTTTTAATTTAAAAGCAATATTTGCCTGACTATAACTGTATAAATTACTCTGCTAAAAAATAAATCATTAAAGTGCACATATATAGAACATTTAGATTTTGTGCACATCCATTTATTTTTGTATAAATACATACTTTTTGGTTTTGTCCTACAATGAAAAGAAACACACATACTTTGGTAAAAATATTACATTTTTTTGTGCATCCATATGTTAGAGTGCTATTTCTGACCAACTGCTGTATGAGAACAAGAATGGTGACCCAGATCTATCATCCTCAGAAAAATACGAACATCACAGAATTTACATAAATATAACAAATGACCTAAAAAATAAATAAATCCCATCAGTCGTTAGTTCTGAGAAAAAATCCTCCCTAATGCTCCACACCGCATTGATTTGGAACAAAAAAAGTCAACCTGCACCTGTGTGCCACGTTAATGAGCACCAGGGGGAATGGAAGAACAATAAGTAATATCCTGAGATGCAGCCATCTATACTTCAGACAAAAAGCCCTTCAGTGGCAGATGTTGTATGACCACTTTGATTTGTTGCTGGTAATGTGGGTTTAAACAACTTTCACCAGCGCCTGGAGGTATAATGGAAGATTCTGTTCACTGAGGTTATGAATATTTCAAATTGCTGGTGTACTTTTGTATTCCTTCTTCTCTTCCACACGGTAACATTTAGAAACCAGATCAGAATTTTGACACGTCTACACAGAATACAAATCTGTCGCAGTCTTCTTTTGTCAGGTGTCATGTTCCCAATACCAACAGTTGGAAGTGAAGTCAGTGAACATCTGCTAGATTTATCAAGTGGTTGAGACTTCATTACATGTGCGCTTCAACAACTGTGGCTCGACTTTCTCATTAGTTGCATCGAAAAATAATTTGTAAGGCAATTCTTAATGGATGGTTTGAGAATAATGAAAGGAATGAAGTGTTTCTGCAACTAAAAACTGTCTCTATGACTATATTTTGTCCTGCAGAGGGGGAGAAAGCAAACAAAAAATAATGTGAAAGGAAAATATTTGTCATATTACCAATAAAGCACAGTGGCATTCAAAGTTAACACAAAAATTGCAGTAACTTGTCTAACATAATTTTCTTGTCTAATAGTGTGGTAAAAAACAAAAAGCAGAAAAAGCATGACAGGCTGCAGAGGGAGGAGGTGTGGTAGTGCATGAGGAAGTCTGGAGTGACAGAGAAGTATGTTAGACTGGTACAGGACATGTATGAGGACAGCAGGACAGTAGTGAGATGTGCTGTACGAGTGACAGATAGCTTCATGGTGGAGGTGGGAGTGCATCAAGGATCTGCTCTGAGCCCCTTCTTGTTTGCTCTGGTGATGGACTGACTAACAGGGCAGGAATCCCCATGGACTATGATGTTTGCAGATGGCATTGTGATCTGTGGTGAGAACAGGGAACAGGTGGAAGAGAACTTGGAGGGATGCACTTGAAAGAAGAGGAATGAAAGTTAGTCATAGTAGGACAGAGTACGTGTGTGAATGAGAGGGAGGCCGGTGGAACAGTGAGGCTACAAGCAGAGGTCACAAAGGTGCAGGACTTCAAGTACTTGGGGTCCACTGTCCAGGAAAATGGGGAGTGTGGTACAGAGGGGGAAAAGAGAGTGGAGGATGGAGTGGATGGAGAAAAGTTTCAGGAGTGTTTTGCGACAAAAGGGTGTCAGCAAAGATCAATGAAAAAGTTTACAAGACAGTGGTGAGACCAGCTCTGCTGTAAGGTCTGGAGACAGTGGTGTAGTGACTTCAATCCACAAATAAAGCCGCTGCTGTCCGAGTAGGTTTTGCTCTGTGACGCGTCTCCAATGAGCCATGCTGAGTCTAACTTGTTTTGCGCATTTATTTTAAAAATAACATGACTTTTGCCATCCATCAAACAGCGCCTGTATTCATTTACATCACTAAATATGACTGAAAAATGGCAAGATATGGATCAAAAAATTGACGATCAACAGTAAAGTTTACAAAAGATCTACCAACCCTGCACCTGATGCCATGACTCAGATCAGCTAAGTAACGTGTGACCATGCCATTCATGCAATTACCTGAAAGGTAGGACACATTTGAACACCTGTGACACTATAACAGTTCAACAACACATAGCAGTCATTCTGGCTCTTACAAGTTGCATTGACAAAAAGACAGGAGAAAGAACTGGAAGTGGCAGAAATGAAGACGTTGAGGTTCTCGTTAGGAGTGACAAGGATGGAGAAGATTAAGAATGAGATCATCAGAGGTGCAGCACAGGTTGAAAGGAAGGAGATAAAGTTAGAGGCCAGACTGAGATGGTTTGGCATGTCCAGAGGAGGGACAGTGGGTATACTGGTAGAAGGATGTTAGAAATGCAGCTGCCAGTAAAAACACAAAGAGGAGATCTATGGTTAGAGTCAGAGAGAACATGGAGGTAGATTGAGTGAGGACAGATATGCAGAGGACAGAGTGAGATGGAGGAGCACCTTCTTTTTTGATAACAGAGACAGATTATCAGTCATTGATGAATTTTCGAATGGAACTAATACTTTTTCTGGGCATCAACAGAAATAAAAAAATGCCATAAAGAAAATCATTTGTAGATGACCAAATAACCAGAACATGGCGTTTATGAAAAGAGAGCAACCTTTTGATTTTTAATCTAGTTGCATAAAAGAATACAGAAAACGGCTTTAAACACCAATCATTACAGGCAAAATACAAAAGATGTTTGGATGTTTTTTAAACAATAAACCCATTTAAAAATGTGACAGTTTCAGAAAATTTTCTTCTTTTGTTTTATAAATTTTACAAAAAATGTCATTAATAAATTAAACTGTATTAATTGCAGTACTACGTACAAAAGTACAAATGTGTAGGTCTTTAAGTGCAGTTATTTGATAAATCTATTAATCCAACTAAAGAAAAGTTTGTGTTTTCCTGATCTGCGGCTGCTCGGCTCGACGCCTCGAGTTCACATGAGCTGGTTCTTGTGAATTCATGACGATGTCTACAGAAACGGGGGCTGAAAATCGATCCATCATCTGTGCAATCTTCTCATGAGGAACACCATGTTTGTTCCGCCTGGAGGGAAATGAATGTAGCAAAGTCATGTTAGTACATGAAGTTTATCAAATTCTACAAATGTATGCATGTTAATATAAAATATGAATTACTTCTCCAGCTCATACGGATCAAACTTCCAGCCGGTGTCAGGTTCACAGAAGTCCACCTTGTAACCTCGATCTAAGGCCTGGGGAATAAATAAATCAAATTTAACAAGATATAAGAGGCGTGACATATTATAAACTAGTCAACCACTAGATTAAGACAACTGGAACAATAATCTGTATATGAACTTGTTTACTTGCCACTAAGTAAACAAGTATATATGTATAACCATGCAGAGGTGACATTTATCCAAACTGGATTTTCTTCTTCTCACTTTATCTTGAACCCTTTAACAAGGTGTGTTCAGTTTACCCGCTCAAAAAGACTCCATCTATGAAATGAACAAGCTGCTACACTAAAGCGCAAGGATTTCACCATCAGTATTTAAAAACAAATGAACCTTTATTTTAATACAAGCAAATACGTTAAATTTGTTTTGCAGTCAGAGTGCTGCATTCTGTGCATATGTTTTCTGTCGGACTTCGACACAAAGTTAAACCTTCAGACTCTGTTAAACAATCCAGATATTTGTGCTCCTCCCTATATACAGCATGACCACAGCCCTGTAGCTCCTTACACATTTGTTTTGTAAATTATTTATAGAATAAGTATTACATGCTAACAGTATCTGACTGCAAGGTACTGTTTAATGTGAAGACAACACATAATCCTGACTCTGATTTACATTTTCCTTCTTGGACCGCATCCAAAACATTATATATTCTGTGTCAGAAACATACTGATGCTGCAGTAATGAAGATACTATAGCTCACCCATAAAGCTTCATTACAACTCTTAAAATTGCTGATTGTTTTTTTCAGTTTGAAGAACTTTAAATTTTTTTTTTTTTTTTAATTTGTTGCTACGTACATTCTCCTTATTGCCAGTAGCTACTGTAAAAATATAATCTTTGCACTTAATCTATAAGTGGTCATAAAATTACGGCCGATGTTTAAATTCTCTTTTAGCATAAATAAAAAGCACTGAGTGCTTACCATTTTGACATATGGCTTCATTTCCCAGGCTTGGAGGTTTGTGTTGTCAATTATAATGGGAGAGCAGCCATCTTGCAGGGCATCTTTAGCTGGAAAACAAATTAACACACAGACATGAAACTAAATTTATCAATAGACTTTTTTTTTATACATTTCAGTTTTTTAAAAAGTTTCTAAACTGTGACAAATATTGTGATAACAAAAAACACTGGAATGACTACAGACTGACAGAAACGTGCATGTGACTGTATGTTTTTAACAATATGCATCTTTACCTCTCCATTGGTTCCATTCATGTGCTGCCCCAAGAAGCCCTACATCATAGCGGTATCCATTTTTCTGGGCAAAGTAATCATCTGTGCTCAGAATGACCCCACTAGGACTGTTGGAGAGCAGCTTCCTAAAAAAGTTGTAAATAAATAAAGTTTAGATAAAAAAAAGAAACAGCTCAATGTAGAAAAAGCAAATTTATGATTGAGGTTAAAATTATTATACCTTGCCAAAGTGGTTTTCCCAGATCCTGGTAATCCCCGCATTAAAATTAGCTCCAAGGAGGAAGGTACTTTGTTCGTATAATTGTGAAATTGATAGTAATGCTGTTGCTTCCACTGTTCATTTACTGACGCAAACCTTTGATGCATGTCGTAGTTCTCATCCCACAAACACCATTCTTCTCCTCTATGCCTAGACCACCCTCCAGTTACATTATTTGAGTCTTTGTCACTCTGACCAAAGTGCTGAGGAGGAATTCCATAAAAGCCCTGAGAGGGGTGAAAGCATATATCTGGAGGTGGAAGTGCTGGAAGATCAAACTCACTGCTATACTGGTCTGTCATTTTAGAATTGTTCAATGTGTTGTTGATATAAGGTGGCAGGTTTTGAGGACTTGGGTAGGCAGACTGATGTGGCTGGTGAGAGAAAGGTGGTGTGGGAAATCTCGAGTTTGGTGGCCTGTCTGATGATGGAGGATAACCAGCGTGTCTCTGTTGTTTGAGTTGGTACGGTTCATTTTGATACCAATGAGGCCAGGAGGACTTTGTCTGTTCCCCATTATTCTGGTAGCTGTTTGTTTCTGCAGAAGTCCTTGTGATAAGAAGTTTACCCTCTGGTTCATCCTGAGTCTCTTTGCTGGCAGGTAGTCCAGGAGACTGCTGAACATCATGTTTCTCTGGGTCACTCTTAGCCTGATCCGGTGTATCAATCTTCTCAAGTTCTTCATAAAACTTAACCAGTGAGTCATCCAAGTCACATTTGGCTGTGGACGTTTCAGGGGGAAATGCTGGCCCAATAAAGGCTGTGCTGGTGAGTCCTACCTCCTTTAACACTCGGTCTCTTAAGCACCGGTCTGGACTGCTGCGATCACTGCTTACACATTGGGGACTTGTATCAGCAGAGCCATCGTCAGTCTTTTCTTCCACACAAGGCTCTTTAATGATGATGGAGCTCGTCAAGAAAGAATCTGAATGAGACATCTGCAAAATAGTATGAACTAGTTAATTTCACAATAAACGTCACCTTATCAAAACATATCATTTTAGTTCATCGTTAATGACTATTCGAGATTAAAAATATGTAAATCAATTATATTAATGCTTTATAGTAGCTTTAAAAACGGCTTTATAACTGGTTTCTGTGAGCGAAACAAGCAAGTCATAATTATGACAAGACTAGCGGTAGTACTAGCGGTGAGGTCAAAAGCAACACAAATCACACACGAGGCAATAAAATACAATAACTAGCTTAACATAACAATAAAACATAACTCTGTATTTTATTCTGAATGCTTACCGTACAAATTCACGATGCATAAATGACAATAAAAATTAGTTTTAACAAAAAACCTGGCATACGGTTTCAACATTTCCGAGGTCTTGTGTTTACGGAAGTGACGTATTTCTTTTTCCGCTCAACGACCCAGTTGAGGTACGTGGGCGCCCCCTGCAGGACTGGAGCCTGATAACACCTTTACCAAAATACGCATTGCCTGTCACATAATAAGAAAACATAACATTAAAGTCAGTTTATGATAATTTTATACATAGTTGTTTAACACTCATTATTGAATGTAGTGCTACATGTTTTTTTTCTTTCATATTTCTCAGTGATGGTCAAAATATTGTTGGAAGTGGCCTTGATTATTGTGCAACTAGTCATTTCTGGTAAAATTAAATTGCACACAATGAAAATCTGATGTTTTTGCTGGTTAAATATATTCGGTTTTCATTAATAAAACAACATGCCCTAAGGTGACATATAAAACACATAGCTTACACAAGCATAAGCAAAACATACACCATCCATTTTTTTAAATTATATTTTGCATTAACCACATCTTACGTAGTCGTTGCAGGTATGAACAGTGGTTAGAGCTGTTGCATCACAGCAAGAAGGCTGCAGGTTTACAACTTGGCTTCAGCATTTCTATGTGGAGTTTGAAGGTCCTTCAGTGTCCAGGTGAATGCACTTCCTGTGCTGGACTACTGACCTGCCCAGTGTTCCCAACTCTCAGCCAATTACAAAAACAGGCCCAAGCTCCCTGTGATACTCCTAGAAAATGGATATATGGAGAAGCGTTAACTATCTACTTTTCTATAATGGTCACTTTTCATAATTTATTAAAACCTATAACAGCCAATTGCACAGGACATATTTTCAGCTGACTCATCAACTGAAGTGTCAAAAAGGAGCACAGACCTTTTCTCTAAGAGTTGCAATAAGGTTGCACAAGCCAATTCTTGCTCAAGTCTCCCCTCCCCTTGCTCTAAAAAAGTATGAAGTGCCCTAATAATTTACTCAAATATTGCATTATATAAAAATAGATATCTAATCGGTAGCTATACCATAAACAATTATGAATTTGTGAGAATCAAAACATCACAAGAGACAACTGCAAAAATGAACGATTTTACTGTGAAAATAACTTCACTACTTTAATAAGTTCAGTGACGAGACACAAACAACCACAGGATGTGTGATAAGCAGCTTTCAGTCTTTACATTCAGTTGTTTGTACAGTGGGTAAAAGTTGTTGTCAACATACAGTCATGTCCACCTACAATAAATCACCAACAAGCAGAGCCTGAGTATCAATCATAGCCAGTTCTTCATCGTTCACCCATCCAGCCTCCAACAGAGAGGTGGTGGGTTTTAGTACAGCTTGAGCAGATTTTGACGTGCTGGGCAGCCCAGACCTCCGAGGGGGGTTAAATGTTTTATTTACAAATGGAGAGACAGTTGAGGCCAGATGAGACAGAGGTGGTGGAGACGGGATTCGAGACAAATAATCCAGAGCTCTTTGTCTTTTCAGGCTTTTGGTGTCCTGTTCAGATGAAGATGTTCCTGCCGGAGGGTTCCTGCTGATGGGTGTAAACGACCCGAGGCTTTGGTCTAGTTTCTGAAATGTCACCTGAATAAAAAAAAAACGAGAGTTTAATTCCTGGGTTAGTCAGATGTAAAAAAAAAAAAAAAATACTACTAATAAAAATAAACAAAACAAAATCATAAACTGACACTTGTCTTTGAGTCTTGCTTCCTGTCTGCTTCAGAGACTGGGGTCTGTAGTTGCAGTGATGGAGAGGAGATGAACTTTGTGCCGTCGGACTTGTTTAAAAGTGAAAGCTTTTCTTCAGCAATTTCAAAAAAGTTGTCTCGACTCTAAAAACACAAAAAAAGGGAAATAAGCCTAAATATTTTAAGTCAAACAGTAAGCACTATGGTTGTGGCGCATCCACAGAAGATGAAAAATTAACAATATCTCAACCACATTAGCAGCTATTAGAAATTTTTTTTTTTAATTGTTAGAACTGTACCTGGACCAGGGTTTTGAGTTGGTTGAGGGATTCCAAGAGATGAAGATCCTTGGGATTTGTAGAGAAGACTGTCAGATCCCCAGCGTACACAACAGGAGTTGGATGTAAGGACTGACCCCTGAGCTGCAGGTTGCTCAGAGCCAAAAAGGTACGTGGCTTTATCACATCGTCAAGGCTGGCCTGAGACAAACTGTTGAAACAGCGCACCTTCACAAAGTTCAGTTTCCCATCAGCCAAATAAAAAGCAGGAGAGGAGCCTGTGCACAAAAACACAAATTATCATTCAATAAACAACACAGTATTAGTGAAAGAAGATAAAACTATACATACAAGCACTAACCATGTTCATCGATGACGCTGATAACATATCCTGTGAGATCAACTTCTTCACACAGAGACAGGAATTCAGCATTTTGAAGATTCACAAAGTTCGTAGAGACTCTTGGTTGGAAATGGTCCGACAGCCATTCTTGGGAAACCTGAGTGATTAAGTATAAGTTAAATAAAGTCTTCCTTTCAATCATATAAGTTAGATTTATGTCTTTTGGCTCCAAAAACACCTGTAGGTCCTGAAACTGTGTTTTCTTTGTCCCAGTGAGCTGAAGTGTTTCAATGCCGCTTCGTTTCTGTACAGCTGAGGCAACCAGGTTATAAACCTTGTACCGACAGCCTTCCTTCAGTAAAGACTGAAGGTCTGAGGAAGGCCGCCAAAGATTCAACTGATAAACTATAACGAAAATAAATAAACACAATAATAAGTAGGTTATTGCAAGAGGCATCAGATTAAATGAAACCTAAAGACGCACCGTGGTTGGATTGGGCCTTGGAGTCAGCGATGTACAGTCTCCACACAGGCGTGACCTCCCTTTTGGGACAGCTCAGTTTGTTGTCCTCTGCCTCTAAAGCTCGGCGATACCGATTCTGCAGCTCAGCTTGCTTCTTCTCCATCAACGAACGCCTGTAGGCATGAAGAGTCTCCGACTGTTGTTCACTTAGGTGCACCTAAAACACAAGGTTGGGTGCTAAGTATTCATCAGAGTAAAAAAGAAAAACAAAGTATGTAAAGAAAAGTTCATCTAACCTCTAGGTAAGCTGGGTCATCTCCAACCGCTTCATACAGCTCCTCTCCATCCTGGAGACTTGCAAAATCTTGATGGCTGATTGACTGCCTTCTCTGCTGAGGTTTGCCGTTCCCTAAAAGTAAAAAAAATTGTTAAAGCTTTAACCAGTTTGAGTTCGTAATTCCAAGTGGAAACTACTTTCTACCTTTCTCCTCTTTTTCAAATTCAGCTTGAATCTTGGCAAAGAGCGCCTCCATGGCCGTTTGTTTGTGGTTGTTGTATCGTCTCAACTCCTTCTCTTCTGCTCGAGAGGACCGGAACACAACACCTCTATCTGCTTTTCTCTCCATCCACTAAAAAAAAAAAAACACCGCAAACACAGTCGAAAGGGCAGAGACGAAACGTCACCATTAACATTTAACATAGACTTGGGTGTTTCTCTCCACACCTGTATGGGGTAGCTTCTCAGAATAACGACATCAACACATCCCACAGGTCCCCCACTGCTGTATAAACTGGAGAGTGGGAGCAGGAATGGCCGTGGGTCTCTATGAAATCCCAGCTTAGCATCCCATCGTGCACGTCTGCTGCTATTGGCACAAATCTAAACACAAGCAACACAGTTATGCGGCTGCTTTGTGTCCAGGGTGAACAATGTGCAGCTTCCCTCTTGGAGTACCTTTAACATGAGGGAATCAGGTGCCTCCAGAGGGGAACAAGCATCTTGTGATCCCATTAGCTGAGCCCCATGGATGATCAGCTTGACACCAACAGTCAGTAGACCTTTGTGAAGCATGGCAGTCAAAGGTTCGTCCAGCTGAGCTCTGATGGCATACCAACCATCTGTAAGCTGGACGACCGCACACGATGCTTCTGTGTTGGCGTCAGCTCTTTGAGGTGTTTTAGTGTCGCTGCGACTCTGCATGTTTGGACAGTGACCTCTGGAAACTACCTCACAAACACATAAAACCAGAGTTTTGGCTGCTGCGTCGTCCTTTTCCATGATCTTCCTCAGAGCCGGCCTGTGGCTGTGGTCCACCTCCACATCGTATCTGAGGCATAAAATTCAATCAAAGCTTTAAATAATAAATTGAGTTTTTAATTGATACACATAAAAAAATAAAATCAAATCTGAATTATGTAATGTGACAATTAGGTGTGTTTTAATTTTATTGATTTTTTATTTCGTACGGTTTGAACTAAACTAGATATATGATGCCATCAGCACCATTTCTTACCATTATAATTTTCTCATTGAGGAAAGAGCCTGTATTTTTTTAAATTGTAAGTTAGCATCATTATTGTCAGAACAACATACATTTTTATTTAAACAGGATTAATAGTATAATTTCTGACTATTACATGTATTCAGTTGTTCTTAATGCAATTACACAAAAGCTGCAGTTAATAAAATGTGGACATTTATGCCTTTTTATTTATTTTGCTTACACCAAATGGGATATGGTAATGTGTAATCAAAGTTTAGGGGAATATTAAAATATATACTGATTGTAAATATACACAGAACTACCAAGAGTTGAAACGTACCTGTACTTCAGGTGTAGAAGAACCTGCTCCGGAGTGAGACAAAGGCTGCCCATTGTTTCTGGAAAAGACTTTTCCATGGAGGCCTGCTTCCACACGATCCATCTGTAGTGATTGGACACCCACGCCTCACTAATCAGTTTAGGATCCACACCAGGAGTGTCACATAAAGCTCTGTGGAGAATAAACTCGGTGCATTAAACTAACAGTTTTCAGACACATTTAATTTTCCACAAATAGTTGAAAATCAGCATCATTTTACACGTACCTATAGAATTCTTCCTTTCCTGCTGTCCAATCATTGCTGGGGATTAACCATCCCCCGTCAGCAAGGTGAACACCCCCTCCATCGATAAAGGTTTCCTGTTTGACAAACTGCAGCAAATTGAAGCAAAACGACTCTGCAGTCTCACTTGTGACCTCAGAAACATTCTTTTGGACTCCGTACTCATAAAGCTGAAATAAAAGGACACCGACATATGAAATGAGAGATGATGCAGCGTAACTAGCTGTGACATTATTTCTTCAAAGTCTAGAGACGGTTATAGCCTCGCCTGTTTGGGGTTGTATTTTGCCGGGTTCTTTCCATTCACTGCAACTTTTAACGGGATCCTTGCAATGCCGGAGGTCTTCGTCAGAAACAAGCTCCCCGGTAGAGGTCGAATGTTCTGCCGCTTCTTTTTCCTGATCCTCATGTCCTGCACAGCCCGTGCCAGCTCAATGTTCTGATGCCCATCTATCAATAAATAACCAACACTTTATTCTTCTACTGTTGCAAGTTAGAACATTTTTGTTTAAATCAACTTGAGGCAAAGAAGTAACTCTACCTGGGTTTTTGGAAAATGAGTCGACTACAACCGATGCCTCTGCTTCAGAATGGTTTACCTCAGTGTTTACAGGAACACCTTGAATATTTGACATGTTTGGGTTTTCAGATTCAACTGAAGCAACAACATCTGCAGTCTGAGTTCTTACTGCAGGTGGTACATAGGTGTTGCTGTTGGACTCTACTGTAGAGGGAACATGTCGTTGATCCTCCTCTTGTTGTTTAGAGGAGCTGTCTTGCAATCTTTGCTTTTTGAATGGAGGAACAAACACAGGCGTTCTGCTGTTTTCTTTGGGCTCTGGATTCTTGGGCATCCCTTTTATTGCATTTCTGATAAATGGTGGAACAAAAACCAGCATCTTCGAGTGTGATGCTCTGCCATCTCTTGGGGCTGAATGTTGAGGTGGTGTTGGGTTTTGGAATCTTGTGTGCTTGAAGTGTTTTGGACCGCTGTAGGAAAAAAAATAAAAAAAAGAGAGACATCGCAAATATTTAACAGCCTCCACCACCAGCTTTTTAAAATCATGAAATCCACAAAGAACTTACCTGTGAGGGTTTGTGATGTTTGGACGAAGTGAGGCACTGTACTTGAAAACTCCCCTGTCTTTTATAAAACCTAAAACAAAAGGGTCTAATTTAATGTATGCGACAACATTTATTATAAACAACTGTTTACAGTGCAAGTGATTTACCAGTTGGAGAACTTTTTACAGGCTGGAGAGCGGAACCTTTTGAACTATCAACAGTTCGATCAAATTCATCCAGTAATCTTCTTTTAGAAGGAGGCTGACCTTTGTGGAAAAGTAAGAAAACCATACAAGTTGAATGTGCATCTGTAATTTATGTAAGAGCTACAGTCTGAAATCAGCAACAGTCCAGCATCTTGATGAGTTTCAAAAAAGATTTATGTGCAATATAGGAAATCTTTTTTTATTAAACTAGTGATGTGAGCAGGGGCGATTCTAGAATTTCACCGTAAGGGGTGCACAACCCCCAGTGTTGACAATGGCTCTTTGGCTTGAATAACGAGGTGGCCATTGGTGGCAGAAGCATTTGTAATGTGTGTGTGTGTGTGTGTTGGGGGGGTCATTAGTAGGGGGGTCTGGGGGTCCTCCCCCAGAAAATTATCAATAGATTCCATTTCCTGCATCCTGGTGTATTTTAATGGGTTGATAAACAGCTACCTTTACCTATATAAGTACCATAAACTCTGGATTCAATGACTATTTTAGAGAGTAACAAGCAGTAGCCTGACCAACAGCTCCCCTTGTGTGAATAGAGCACGCTCTGCTTCTCTCACGCATCCTAACCCCATCCAGTCAATAACTGTATTGCGGCGCACAATACAGACATGCTAGCTAAGATGCTACAGACGTTGCGCTCCACTTCTCTGTTGCATCCTAACACCCCCCTCCCCCCACAGCTCCTGCAAGAGGCTTTTCAGTTCGGGATGAATTGAGGTTGCGGATTGGTCAGCTGCTGACAAGCCTACTGGATTGATTGACCGGTAGCATCGAGGACCTGACCCGTGCAAAAAAAATAAATAAAATTTAAAAAATCAGATTTTACTGGCCTGTTTTTGTCATCATTTATTCCATATTTATCCCAAATTTATTCAATATTTTGGTGAATCTAAGGTTTGAGAACTGAGTTTCCTTACAAAATCCTAATGATGGTTTCTTAATTTTTCAGGGGTGCAGAGTTTAAATTTAGTGGTGCTTGAGCACCCCAAAAACAGGCTAAAATTGTCACTGGATATATTAACTAAAAACAAGACTAAAGTTTGACAGAATTGCTACTCGGATGATTCAAGTGCTTGTAGAATTGCTATCCTAATATAGTTACAACATAATATTGTAAGTAAAGTTTTTATGTGTAAGACACTTACCAGTGCAAGTTGCAACTTCCAAAAATCTTTTTCTGCTTCCATTGTCCTCCTCTGCAGATCTGCTGCTTAACTTCGGGTCAGGTGGCAGTGTTGTATCTTCTGAAGTCACTGGGAGATTCTGGCCAGCCAGAACTTCATCTTCCAGCAGGGCTTTAGTGCAGTCCAGAGCTTCTTGTGCAATAAACTTATGTTGAGTTTCTGTGCAGCCCGTGAGGTTTAGTAACTGCAAGTTAAGATCTGTAGACTCATTTGCTCTCACAACTTCAGCTTTCTTGCTGTAGCTCATCTGATTAAAGTGACAATCCAGCATGCTTGACTCCTCAAGAATGTCGTCTACTCCTGCTGTAGTAGAAAATGACCTTACGTCACATGGATCACTTCTCTTTGCATTAATCCCATCACCAGCAGGGGCAACATTATTAGTTCTTTCCACATCTTTTGCTTCTGATAACTCCTGTTTCGCTGGGTTTTGAGGTCTTGGTGAGTGTGAGAATGAACCGTGGTGCTCCCCATCAGTAAATTCTTTAAAAAAATGTTTTGCCTTTAAAAGACTTTTCTCCGAAATGAGGACTTTTCCTCCTCCTGCAGTCGTAAAACCACAGTGTACATCAGCTTTACGTTGAGCAGCATGTTTCTCATCACTCCTCTTTGAGTCTTGAAGACTTGGGATGTTTGTACTCAAACTGGTGTCGCTGAAAAAAGCTTTAGCTTTTTGTAAAGTCTCAGATGAAAATGTTACAGGTTTACCGCTGGCTGAAGAAAACCCATTTTTCAAAGGAAACGCTTCAGTGTTAGGAATCTTGGAAAATGGCAATAAAACATGGATGTTATCTTCAGCTCCTTCATTTTCATTTAACAAGGTTTTTGCTCTTGTCAGAGCTTCAGACGATACAGCAACCGTTTTTCCACTGGCTGTCTGAAACCCACCACATTGCTGAAGTAAAGCACCTTCTTTTTGTTTCACTTGTTCATTTAGGTCCTGAGTGAATCCATTTTCAGGCTCATCAGAAATATTTCTTGTCACCGGTTTTGGCTTGAATATATTTCCATACACATTGTCACCTTCACTAAAAAGGGCTTTACTTTTGCTTCCTGATGATCTTTTACTGTTGCTGCTTACTGTGCAGACTTTGTCCTTTGTAAAGGAAACATCTGCTTCTAGGCTTGTTTGTGCTGAACTGTCAAAGTCTTCAAAGAGAAGTTTTGCTTTGAAAAGATTTTTTTCAGACACGTGGACTTTAGCGCCACCTGCAGTTGTGAAGCCACAATGTATTTTCTCTTTAGTGTTCCCACCGTTTTGTTTCTTGTCACTTTTCATAGTCATGTCTGGGATTTCTGAAGAAAAACCAACATCACTGAAAAGTGCTTTGGCTTTTTCAAGGGCCTCAGATGAAACGGATACAGGTTGACCACGGCCAGAAAGAAATCCAGCATTCCTGCATGGCAGAACACCAACTTTAGACTGCATTGGATATGAACTTGTTTTATTCTCAACTCCTTCGCAATCACTTAACAAGGTTTTTGCTCGTTTTAAAGCTTTGGATGAGATGTTGACTCTTTTTCCACTGGCTGTCTGAAATCCACCGTTCTGTTGTGGGAAGGCCTTTTCTTGTTTGCTTGTGCCCTCAGCAGATCTTCTAATAGGTTCTTCAAAAATGTTTGCCCTCACACTTTGATCTGGACAAAGTTTGCCACGATTTTCCTCCTCACCCACATCTGCACTATCTTTCTCGCTTTTTGCAGATGTTCTCTTACTGCCATCCACATCACATTCAAAATATGCATCAGACTCTTGCATGACTTTAGTTAAAGGCAGATCATCAAGGTCCTTGAAAAGATCTTTGGCTTTTAAAAGATTCTTTTGGGATACGCAAACTTTCGCTCCACCTGCAGTTGTAAATCCACAGTGCCTTTTCTCTGTATTGGCTTCATGTTTTTCCTCAGGGAAGATCGTATTAGTCTGCAAGTCCTCAGATGGCACCACCGATTTACCACTGGTTGCAGAAACATCAGAGTTACACATTGGTGGACTGGTAGCAGGAGCTTCTCTTTTGGGATGCAGTAAGGAAATACCCATTTCATCATCTCCTCCTTCATATTCTTTTAACATAGCTTTTGCTTTCTTTAGAGCTGCTGATGAAATGGCAACTTTGTTCCCACTAGCTGTCTGAAATCCTGTTTTTTCTGCGTTTAAACCCTCATCACTGCGATTTCCTGTACTTTTTGCATTTTCCTTTTGGTTAAGTTGTACGTTTAGGTCCTCATGTGTATTGATTGGATTCAAAAGACATTCAGCTCTTTTCAACGAATTAGCTGACACGGAGACTTTCTTCCCACTGGCTGTACAGAATCCATCAGCAGGTGCGGAAAATGGCTCTGAAGTCTCTGGATGTTTCAGAGCAAGTGGACCATTACTGCTCTTGTTCATTCCATCCACACATGGTGCTTTAGTGTGAAGTGCAGTCAGTCCTGCATTTACATTAGATTCCTCAGAGGTCTGTAAGTTTGTGTATTTTGAAAAACTTTTCTTATTTTCAATGCTTTTAGGTGGCCCTTTTATGTTTTTATAAGACATGTCATCTTCATGCTCCATTACAGTACCATATTTAAAAAAAGCATCTGCTTGTTGCATGCACTTTGCAGAAATAGAGATGTCTTTTCCACTAGCCATGTGGAAATCACTTTGAAACATTTGTGTGTCCATTTTGTTATTTTTAAAACTCTTGCTACGATCCTTCTCTCCATCACTCAGTTGTTTGTTTGAACATAAAAACTGGTCCAGTTTGGAAGAATCATCCTGAACATTCTTCTCAACATGACAGCTATCCTTGAAGGTGAACTTCAAATCCTCCTTGCACGTGTCAAAGTCCACGATGTAGTTTTGATCGGTTTTGGCACAAATTGGATCATTTTGGTTGTCTGGTGGTTTCTGATCTGTTGGATTCTCCTCCAAATCTGCAAACAAAGCTCTGGCTTTGCTCAGACACTTTTTTGAAACTCTCATCGTATTTCCTCCTGCTGTTGTAAATGCCAGAGCAAGCATCAAAGGATCGTTGGTGTTCAGTTCGCTTGCTTTACCACACTCAGCTCGGTGAAAACCGGGTCCAGTTAACATATGACAATTCTTGTCTTTAGAAACGTTCTCGGAGAAAGGAGTTACAGAGGCGTTCTCATTTTTCAGTGCAGTTGACGATGACGTGGACTGATCTGAAACCAAGGCCATCTTGTCAAGCATCTCAGTGACTGAGGAGTGCTTTCCACCATCAGAATTGAAGCTGTCATCAAAATCTATCCCAGCAAGAAAATCTGGGTCAAGTTCTCTGTGAGGTTTTTGTGAACGACTGGCATCATCTTGATCTATCTGTTTTACAGTTTTGGACTGAGCAAATTCAAACTGACTGTCAGCTTTTTCTAAGAGAGAGCACAGTTCTGTCACATCAGCTTTTTCTGAAGCTGTTAACTGAGAACTGACATTTCCAAAAGTTTTTTCCATGTGAGATAGTTGGTTTGAGTTAGTTTTACTTGGCAGAGACCCACTGCTCAGACTGATGTCATGCCTAGCAGAGTGGTCATACGTGGTGGATTGATTACTTAAGGTCCTTTTACCTTCAGTTTCGTCAAAGAAACTCTTGGCTCTCTTCAGATTGGCTGAGGAGATGTGTATACCTTTATCTGAAGCAGTTTTGAATCCTGATGAATAGGCAGATGAAAGATAAATGTCAGTTTTCTTTGGCAGACTGTCACAGATCTGATCACCTAATGATATACAGTCACTTTTATACACAACTTCTTCTGCACTGCTGGACGGACATGTTGGTTTGTTCTTTAAAAGTGATTCACTATCTTTACCAGAGTCCAGTGTTGGCCTTTTCATGCATTTCTGCACAGTGGCATTTTCTTCTACTTCCATATGTTCTTTCTCAATTTCTTCTTTTGTAAATGAAAACATGCATTGCCGACTTTGAGCAATGATTTCTGAGTGCGGAAGAACAACTGATGAGGCAGTCATATGAGTGACGTCTGTAACACCAGACTGCAATCCACTGTCAGTTATAGTAACATTGCTAACGGAGCAAGTTTGTCTTCTGTTTCCGATGTCACCAGTTTCCTGGAGATCAGCTTGCTTTACTTTCTGCTTTGAATGTTTGATGGCTGAGAGACAGGCTGCAGGAAAGAAGTCATTTAAAGTAGCCTTTGCTAGTTTATCTAGATGGCCAGAAGGTGCTCCTTGGCTAAAGTCTTGTGCAAACTCCTTGCAAAGCAGAGACATGTCAAAATCCTGGACTTTGGCTCCTCCAGAGGAAGGCAAGTTTTCTCCAACATTTTGTCTTTGATTCTGGACAGTATTCCTCTCTGTGCTGCAGCACGCACCAGAGGCTTTCTCCAGTGGTTGGACATTCACTTCTTGTCCTACAGAACAGCATATACATTAAAAAAGAATAACTGATTAAATCATTATTATTTTTCATGCAATAGATACAGTGGTTCCCAACCCTGGTCCTTGAGGAACACCATCCTGCAAGTTTTTGTTGTTTCTCTGCTCCAACACACCTGACTCAGTGGGTTTTATTACTTTTAGTTTAGCAGAAAACTGTTAATCACTCTTTCAATCAAATCAGGTGTAGGAGCAGAGGAATAACAAAACAAGCAGGGTGGTGTTCCTCAGGGACGAGGGTTGGGAACCACTGGATTAGATATAAACATGTACATTTAACAGTAAAAGGAAAATGAGTTACCAGAATCTGAAACTCCAAATGGTGGGTCCATCGTTAGAGACTGACTTTCTTTTTCTTGAACTTGTCTTTTCATAGTTGGTATTGTATAAACAAATTTTCTCTTTTTCTTATTAAATCCAGGGTCTGTGATTGTCATTGATGGTCTGAAGAGCTGGACAGGATCTGTGTCATCACCTTGCTGTTGTTTAGTCAAAATATTGCTCTCCAGTGTACAAAATGGGATTTCAGATAAGTTTAAAGGAGACCACTGACTGACTGCAGGATCTTCAGTTTTTGCCAGTGGGGTTAAGGATACTCTACCAGATTCCAGATCAGCTGTTACGTCTTCACTGGATGAAGAATTGTGTATTACTGCGATAGCTTTAACACTGCATCTCTTCTCTTTTGCCTGAATGAGTTGTTTACGTTTGACTCTGACTGGTTTCACTTTTCTCAGAGCTGAACTACTGTTGGCAAAGAAAGCGGAGTCCATATTTTTAGCTCCATCAAGGTTTTCTTCTGCTTGGTAACAAACTTCATCTTCAACAGCATCTGGAGGTTTTTGTTGGCAAACACCCTCGGTCTGAAGGCATTTCCAGGCCTCAGAAGAAACGGCATCTATTTTTAACAAAAATGAACAAATGAATATAAACAGCTTTATTTTAGTGCAAGCAACAATGTTGCTGTAACAAACTTTATTTTTTATATTAAACCGCTCCACTAATTGCACATTAAGAAAGTGTAAAAAGAAATATTTGTACCTTGGGAAACAGAAGGCGTGGTTTTGTTTTTTGGTACCACAAATGATGATGCTTTTGAAAGTGAAGGGAAAAGCTTTCGTACAAACTAAAAAAAAAAGTAAAAGAGTAATAAGTAAGCGTAAAAAGAGACGCTCTACAAATAATGAAAACATCAGGTCACTTAGATCCAACTATTGTCCAACTGATGCACATATTCAGTCTTTTCTGTAGAAACATTTCAGTATATCATTTCTTCTTAAAAATCATAATTGTTCTTTTTTTTTTTTACCAATGTTTTGACATCAGAATATATAAAATACACCAGCACATGAGATAGTGGCAGTATATTCTGTTGCAGCGTGTGTTATATCATTGGAATAGGCAGAAAACTCACAACAAAATGTCTGTCTGCAGTAACGCTCAATGGACAGGGACTTTCATCAGGTTTAGCTGGAACATTGACAGGATACACAAATAAATGTATGTAGTCAGATTATTAACAACCAAACTCAGCTTTAAACCTAACAAATAAATAAAGTCACTCACATAAAATCAGGGTGGATGGCACTGCTGGTGGTGTATTCAAAGAACTTGTCCATGAAATGTCGGGATTAATCTGAGCGCCAAGACTTTCAGAAATATGCTTGACGTAGTTTGTCTGCATGATTCAAACGACAGGGAGATGAAACTTTAATGTTGCTCTTTACATTTAAATAGTGGCTTTTGGTCAAAAATAAATAAAATTAAATGTAACACTCTTACCATAGACTTGTCTGGTGTACTGTGTATATCTGTACAGATGATAGAAGCTAAGAAATCAACAAATTGTGCCTGAATCTTTCACATATATGCTAATAGCACTAAGCTTACCAAAACTGTCCTCACTCTGAGGCTCGACACCTTCACATTTCTCACCTGGGACACTGCAAAGTTCAACACACACATTAAAAAATTAAAGGAGGAATGAAACCATTCCGGTTCGGTGGCCTCAGGATTCCATCTCTGCTCTTTGCAGATGATGTGGTCCTGTTGGCGTCATTGTGCCGTGACCTTCAGGTCTCAATGGAGCGGTTCACAGCCGAGTGCGAAGCAGCTAAGATGAGAATCAGCACCTCCAAATTTAAGACCATGGTCCTCAGTTGGAAAAGGGTGGATTGCTCTCTTCAGGTCGAGGGTGAGGTTCTGTCCCAAGTGGAGGAGTTCAAGTATCTCGGGGTTTTGTTCATGAGTGAGGGAAGAATGGAGCATGAGATTGACAGACAGGTGCCGCGTCTGCAGTATTGCGGACTCTGTACCGGTCCATTGTGGTGAAGAGGGAGCTGAGCTCTAAGGGAAAGCTCTCTGTTTACCGATCGGTCTACGTTCCTACCCTCACCCATGGTCACACACTCTGGGTAGTAGCCGAAATAATATGCTGGTGAAGATTCTCAGTCATCCAGGACATGATGAATTCAAAAAACATTTAATACAAAAACAACTGGACTTTATTTGTAACAGAAGACGTTTCGCTCCTCATCCGAGGAGCTTTCTCAATTCAAAGAGCAGTGAGTGAGGGATTCAGGTTATAAGGCTGAGTGAGATAAGACACACACACATATGTAGATTGGCAGTTCACACCTAAACACCTTAACAGTAGGTCTTTGTTCCTCTAATTCACAGACGAGGCCCCTCTGTTCCCATCAAGTGTGAAAACTGGCTGGGAATAAAACCGGCTAGCCGAAATAATAAAATCATGGATACAGGTAGATGAAATGAGTTTCCTCTGCAGGGTAGCTGAACTCTCCCTTAGAGATAGGGTGAGAAGTTCAGTTATCCGGGAGAGACTCCGAGTAGAACCTCTGCTCCTCCACATCGAGAGGAGCCAGTTGAGGTGGTTTGGCATCTGGTAAGGACACCCCCTGGGCACCTCTCTAAAGAGGTGCTTTGGGCATGTCCGACTGGGAGGAGACCATGGGGATGACCCAGGACACGCTGGAGAGACTATGTCTCTCCAGGTTGGCCTGGGAACGCCTTGGAATCCTCCTGGAAGAGGTGGCTGTGGAAAGAGATGTCTGGGCCTCCCTGCTCCAGCAGCTGCCCCCACGACCTGACTTTGGAACAAGCGGAAGATGATGGATGGACAGATGGGATGGCTTTTAAAACCTTTGGAATTAACTTTATTAGGGAATAAATCTTCCAACATCTCTGTTCTTGAACATAAAGGGTTTTAGCTGCAAAAATTGTGTTTTTTTTTTGCTTTAACATTTTTTTCATAGTACCAACAACTCATCAATGACTTCATCCAAAAGTGATACATGATGAAAAGTTGGATTGATAATAAATCTACTGACAACAAAAGAGCAATGTAGTAACAAATTTCATTGTTAGTACTCACCCCTGTCCTGACACCTGAAATAAGCAGGGACTTTGTGTTGCCGTCCATGGTAAAGATCCTCTTCCTGTGAGGCAGCACAGTGAGACATAAGGTCCAATTTCAAATAGATCCATAAATAAAGAGAGTAGGTCACTACAGATGCATACAAATTACATGTATATGTATTATAAAATACATTAAAGTACACATTTTGTTTTCAACAATTGAACACTACCATGTGTATTTGTGAACGACTGCTCATCCTTGGTTTCAGGAGACACAACTCGACTGTGTCTGAAAACGTTGGGGGTTGAAAACAGCTGACTGTCCACTGCAGTTTTCTCAGAAGGTGTTTTAAAGTTCCCCTCTTGATTAGCACACAGGTCATCCTTATCAGCGACAATCCTCTCCTTAGGAGACGTTTGAGCAGTCAGTACTTCAAACCAGTTTGGGTTTAAAGGCCCCAGCTCTGAAAAGACAACAGAACTTTAAATACAAAAATTAAAACCACACTTAAAATACCACGTCCTCCTGATCTACTGTAAAGCAATGATTGTGAAACTAGACTTTACAGATTTAGGTTATATTATTCAGATTAAATCTTTTGCACTGACCTGTGTGATAAACTGTGATACTGATTAGATTTAAGCCACAACTAAAAAGAAAATGCAAAGTCACACGTCTTACCTTTCCAGATTTCATCTTTGAATGTGTCGTGCATGGTTTTTACGGATAAATCCATTCCAAGAAACATGAATAACACTTAAAGTCATGGGACACCTAAGAAAACAAAACGTCAATAGCTGAAGCAGAAATCTTTGTCATAAACTTGTGATCCATTTCCTGGGCAGGTGAGGCTTCGTCTACAGCTACAACAACAAAAACAAGTTTAACTGACCAAACTACCAAACTGTTTAATCACTGTTAAGTTGTTACATCAAACTGACGAGCAGACGGTGTTGTGTGTAATGTCTGTTTAAGATCAGAGCCGTAAAAACAACAGATAACTATGACTGCGCATCCAGTCAACACGTCCATTAAATCAGTTTTAAAGATATAAACTTACCATGACGACCAGTCAGCGAGTTCTTGTTAATATCGCGAAAAAAACTCCCAGCAAAAAGTAAATAAGAAATCACAAAACACCGACATAAACTGGTAACAGGAAGAAAAAAAAAACTGCTTGCTAATAGCCAGTTTGCTAGCGGCTACATCATCTAGCTCAACACAAATCTCGCGCGCCCCGACCGGAAGTGGGAGCGGCTTCAAAATAAAAGTCCCAAATTAAAATAGCACGATGGTGATCATCTTAATGCAATAAAAGTTCAACTTATTCTAATACACGAAACTAAATACATTTTAGGGGGACTGATCTAGAAAATTAATGTGGTGTAAGGGAATTTCACACCATATAAATTAGGGCCTGTGATCGGAAAGTTGCTGGTTCACCTCCCGGTACGGTCAACATCAAAATGTGGGTGGAAAAGGTGGAACACCCACACTTGCCTCCACCCTCATTCTCCCCACTCTGGGCTCCTGAACAAGACCCTTAACCCCCACCATCTGCTCCCTAAAACAGGTTTCTCTTGAAAATGAGTCATCGTGGCTCAACGAGACTACCTGTATAAATAAAGGGTAAATGAAAAATAAATGAAAAATAGTAGTCCATGAGACACGTGGACGGCAGAGCTTGTTGGAAACCCCTCCTGATGCATGTCACACCCAAAGCATACTGTTAACCAATGTTGGCATATTTAACAACAAAGTCCATGCTCAATAATCCAGGTGTGCAATCCAACATTTTTCAGTCAGGTCATCTGGACAGCTTCTTTTTTTGTGCTGAAACGTTTTGCCTTCGATCCGGAAGGCTTCATCAGTCAAGGAAACACACAACAGAAAACTGATTCTTCCTCCAACAGCTTGCTCCAAAGTGGAACAAACCAGTTATGTTGGTGCTAAGTTGGTTTCTTTGGGGGCGTGACAAAGAGACCAAGTTCCTTTTTTATTTTTTTGAATGTCCAGAGGACCAGATTGAACTTTTTTGGATTTTTCTACCTGGATTATTGAGCATGCATCAGGACCATGGTGGAAAATTACTTGGTGAGCAGTGGTGAGACCATCTGCCATTGGCTTTACATCAAATTAAAGTATAGGGTTCTAATTTCATATTGATATATTTGCTCATCCCTTCCTGCAAGGATTGCTATCAGTTTGAGAAGCCAAACAACATTTTTGTCTAATTTGAAGTGAAATGTGTCAGTGAGTGGTCAGTTTACATCAGAATTTCATTTTGATTGGGCCAGACATGATCCGTGCTTGCTGTCTTCTCAATTCATATGCAAAGCATCTAAATTACTTTGGTGGTAGTCCAGGGAATAAAAGACATGAGACCCTAAATGTATGAAACAGCACCTTTTCTCAAACCCATAGGTCTGCTTTACTTACTGCTAAAAAAGTTATTTTGTTTTTACAATTGGGACTTACAGTCAGGATCAGAAAATCCATAATTTGTCACAGCTTGAGTTGTGGCATTTGTATAGCTTCAAATCCTACAGTATGATCGAACAATGTCGAGTCAGGTCCTCTGGACAAATTATTCTTTGTTGAAGCAATTTGGTTTTTATCCAAAAGACCTTCAATCTGAGCTGCAACAAACTCAGTCTTAGTGGCACCTCCTCATGGTGGATCAACTAGTTTGCTGTTGACAGCCAAAATTTGTTCACATGCAAAAGGAGGACAATCAGCCTAAAGACTGATTGTTAGTACAGCGATGGCCACTTGCTATTCACAGAGGGCTGAGTGATTCAGTAACAGCACTGTAAGAGGCTGACAGATGAACACGGAAGCCTCTGTTTAACGATGGACAGGTTCTCTTCACTAAGATGGCTTCCTTTACTTCCTTTAACAGAACAATGACTGGACACTGAGTGGAGGAGATTAGAGCTTTAAATAAGGCAGAGGGGGAGTGAGTAATGCAAGCACCTGGGCAGGTAGCTGATGAGGGACAGGTGGGAGTGATCAGAAGGAGGTTGGAGAGGCAGGAGGAGGAATGAGTGGAAACTGATAGAAAATACTGAGTCCAAAAACACAAGGAACAGAATGACACAAGCAGAACGCAGAAATACAAAGACAGACTGTGTCAGCATCAGGACCTAAATTAAGATGTTTGTATCAGTTTTATAGCATAACCTCCTATTACATAACAGTTCTGTAATGCTTTTAAAGCCTAAACTACATAGCATTTGTGTTAACTTTTGAAAGCCTATACTGATAATCTTGTTATTCATGTTTCTTTCTCGCTGAGAAAGATATGTGTGAGACCGTTGTTATGATGACACGACATAGTCAAAGTGATAATAAAGATGACAAGATGACTCCCCAGTTAACAAATGTGTTTTAGTGACAAGTGAACAGAGAACACCTCAAAAAATAAATAAAAATATAATATTAATGCATTGCCAAAGCAAACATATTTACAGGACCGGAGGCTACAACAACAATTTCAAAAGCTCATTTTCCCCATCTCCATAAAACTCAAATTTCAATTTTACAAAACTACAACCTTGAGTTTTACTAACACCTTCAGTTTGCTATTTACAACCAGTCAATTAAGTTCTTTATTTGAATTTGCAAGCTTGGCAGGTTTAACAAATAATATATTTTCTATAGATCTTCAAAGGTAACAGTGTTTTTTCTCTTGCTTAAAAGATAAATATATTTTTGTATTTAATAAAAGCTACTCAGTTATAAAGTACAGTAATATGGTTTAAGTACATAACCCACAAGGTAGCATGCAGGTTGTAGATATTACAGTAGATTTGCAGCATGTCAGAATAATTTAACATGAACCACTCATACGAAACAGAATCAGTAATTCCACCCATGATGGTCAATATAATTTAATGCACACACTCAGGCACAGTCACGACACATCAAAACCTACACATAAATACACGCAAAGGACTCACAATTAAAACAACATAATGATACCTCCCTTTTTTCTCCACTAACAGTGTCTTCAATGCTATGACAATTAAATACATTCTTTAAAGAGACAGGAAAGTTAAAAGATTGCACATTTTCCCTTAACAAGTAAAACACAACTGATAGAGCATCACGCAAGTTTGATACATTATTTGTTAAATGGGACTGTTGTTGATGTCTGTAGCAAATGGTGGCTTCGTGAGAATTCCTTTCATTCAAGCAAGGAAAGGTTACCTCTGTTATAAGAGGAAATAAAACCATCACTGCTGCTTGTTTAACATGGACTTCAAGACATTGAGATACTGTGAGACAGAAGCTGGAGAAAAGGGTTTGGTTCTTCTCAGGAAATGGAGATTTTGGTAAAAAAAAAAAAAAAAAAATGAAATGAAAGAGCTGCCTCAGACAAGTCTGGAGTGCACAGCTGCAAGTGCCACGAACCGCCACACCAACATCAGAGAGTTGAGCCTGAAACCCTGGAATCAGGGAGAAAAGCTGTGACGGCTTTGTAGCCCTGTGCTCGTCGGATCATGTCCCGAGTCTCCCCGTTAAGTTCCATCAGCTTGACAGAGATTTCCGTCAGGTCCTGCTTTGAGCCCACCAAAGCAAATGTTCCCGTTTGACCCAAAGTCTGATGTCTGAAGTAAATGCTCAGTAACGTTTGGATCTCATCCTCAGAGGGGCTGCCGAAGATGTCGCTTGGCCACAATGTTCTGCAAAGAAATCAAAGTTTTAGTAAAAGTAGAATAAATAGCTTTAATTGTCATTGAACCATGTTCAATGAAATTATGTTTGGCATCACTCCATGTCAGCATATGAGTAAAGTGATAGAGTAAAGTTTAAAATGAGATGCATAAACATAGATACCAAGATAAATAGGAGTACAGCAGGGCTGTTCAACTAGCAAAGCAGTTTTGTAGTTGGATGGATTAAGTGAAGTAATTCATTTAGTACATAACACAAAGGAGACGTTCGACACACATTGCGCTCGCTTTCAGCCCAGCTGAGTTCTGCTCCGCCTCTTTTGGTTCCGCTCAAAGCTCACACCTGAGTGGGATGTGAACGCTTCACCTGTGATTTATGAACTGTTTGAGGAAGATCTGCTGTGTGCAGCCATGTCATTGTAAATGAGAACTGGTTCTTAATGGACCCACCTGGGAATGTCAAAAATAGTCAACTTTTTATTTTTATTTTGAAAAGCATAAAGATTTAGTCAGAGATGGCAGAGTAATATTTGTGTAAAATAATAGTCATAGTGTGTCATTTTTGTTTTTAATACTGTTTCACATTAGAATATCACTACTTTTATTGCAAGGAAATAAATCTTGAAATGTAATTTCTTTGAATTACACTTTTGGATTCTGTTTATTGCCTTTTAATTCCATCCATCCATCCATCCATCCATCCATTATCTTTACCCGCTTATTCCATTTTGGGTCAGGGGGGTCGCTGGTGCCCATGTCCAGCAATCACTGTGCGAGGGGCGGGGGACACCCTGGACGGGTCGCAAGTCCATCACAGAAACACATAGAGACAAATGAGACAAACAACCATTCACTCTCTCACTCACACCTAGGGACAATTTAGAGTTACCAATCAGCCTAACATGCATGTTTTTTGTCTGTGGGAGGAAACCGGAGCACCCGGAGAAAACCCACGCATGCACGGAGAGTACATGCAAACTCCACCCAGAAAGGCCCCTGGACCGGGGTTTGAACCAAGGACCTGCTCGCTGAGAGGCAGCAGCTCTACCAGTTGCGCCACCGTGCTGCCCCTTTTAATTCCATACAACTACATAAACAAATTTAAAATGTAACAGATCATTGTAATACTTTGTTTATTTACATATTGCTGCATGTCCGGCCCCTAAGCTGCTGGCTTTCAGTAACTGTGCCCCCTTAGCAGTTTAGTTGATTAGCCCTGGTCTACAGTTTTGAAATAGCAGCTGGAGTTATAAACATATGGATGTAAGCGTGACAGTTGCATATATCTATATACAGTGTTTCTACTGGTTATGCAGTAGTTTAGATAAAATTATACAGCTTTGTATGTACAGTTTTATACAAATTGTCAGACTGAACAAGTTGGTTTGTACAATTTTACACGTTATGGGTTGGCATGCAGTTTTGTTGTAACCATGATCCCAGTTAGGCTGTTTGCACTACACTGGTCAAGTTCTTCCGCTCAGCGTCTGTGCAGCTGCGATACCACACTGTGAAACAGTTTGTAATGATGCTCTCAATCGGGCTTCTATAGAGGTGGAACATCAACATTTTGTGAAGCTGAGCCAGTTTTAGTTTCTGCAGAGAGAAGAGTCTCTGCTGAGCTTTATTAACCAGCAGGAGGTGTTGGAGGAACAGGTTAGATGAAAACTAGGGTGCTATCTTACTTAAAGGGGTGCAATACAAAATTATAAATACTCACACAAATTTTTTCACACACTGATGTTTATTTGTTCTTAAATTTAAGATTTTTAAGCAAAATTTGTGACCATATGCCAATTATCATGCGTGTTTGTTTATTCACCTAGGAAAACAGCTGAAGTGACTGAAAATAAGTCAAACATTAAATTAACACTTTAGCTGCCAGAGTGTTTGACAGCTGAGCTCTGAATTCAAGGCACTCCACTGTTTAATACCCTATTTTTAATCATGTGACAAGTTTTCACATGTTTTTTTTTTAATGGGATACAGTAAATTGTTTAGTTTACATTAAGAGTGGACCCGTATTTCAGATGTGCATTCAATAAATTTTGGAAACTACTCGAGTAAACCTCTTCACATTGCATGATTTGATATACCGGTAGTTCAGCATAACTTTTTACATGTTTGATTTCATAATTTGCAATGAGCACCTTTAACACACTCATGATGAACAAACACCAAGCATCTAATGTTTCGCACCTGCATTCCCGAATGTAGTGAATGGCTTTTAGAAACTCATTGTTCTTTAGAGCCTCCAGGATGGCCTGCACTGCAGCTTCAGAGGAGCTCAGGACGGTCTCCGAGCAGGAACTCTCACAGGCAGAAGTGTCATCGTTCTTCACCGAGGCTGCTGCTACCCTCAGGTTGTTCCTCAGTTCATTTAGTTCACCGGACATATCTGTGAGCTAAAGGTTGGCGGATGAAATGAACATAAATTGGACAATGAGGATCATGGCTTCAAAAATAAAAGAAAACAAAAGATGGATAGACCTACCTCTGGAAACAAGCTTATTGCATGGACCTGTTCAATCAGTTTACAGTAGGACTGAAAAAGCAGCAACAGCTGAAAGTGGAGTTTGTAGAGTCTCTGACAGAGCTCCAGTTGCTGGAAGAAAGAGCAAAAGTTTCAGAATAAGGTTTCTGTACTTGCACACAGTTCACCCACAGTTCACAAAATAATCTGTTTAAAATAAAAACTAACACAAGATTGCTTTAAGTAAAGGAAGAAAAGAAACAAGCCACATCAAACTTACAGCCAGAGATTCCATTTGCTACCAAGCAAGCATGTCACACAGCAAAAAAGAAGTTAGGAAAACAAACAAACAAACAAACAAACAAACAAATTATAGGTCATGCAACTGATTCCCATTTAAAAATGGGTGAAACATATGACTACAGGTCATTTTAGTCACATGCAGTGCTTAAATAATGGATAAATGTGAAATAAGAATGAAAAAAGGGGGTTTACAGTGAGTTTATAAAATAAAACAAGTAAAAAATGCTATAATTATACTCAAACACATTCAACTTAAGAACATTTCAACAGGCTATTTTATTAACAGCAAATCACTTTGCTGTTAATTATTTACAGCTCAACGGCTTCGGATTTTATCAGCCCATTAAATGAGCGTTATTAGATGTTATCATCCCCATAGGTTGCGTTCAGACTGTCCCTCCTGTCCCTCCTACTAGTTTTGAAGTTACGTTGTTATTGCTGATATTATGCAGCTTCACATGTGTGTAAAACCAGGAGATTTTTTTTGTTGCTTTATTTAACCCTGTTCCTAAACCTAACCTCACACCTGACCCAGAGCACTGACCCTAAACTTAACCCCTTACCCTTGAGCATTAACCTAACCCAGTCCCTAAACCCCAGACCCTTTACTGTTAACCTAATCATGTGACCCTATTATCAGAGCTAACAATGTACCTTTAAAGCTAATAGGAGGTACAGGAGGGGGGGTCTGAACGCAACCTATGGGGATGATAACAACTCATAACGCTCATTTAAAGGGCTGATAACATCCAAAGCCGTGCACAGCTTGCTTCTATGTTCAGCAGAGCTGAAAACATTCACAAGAACTATAAACGGTTCACACAGAGGAGGGAATCAACGCGTCATGCACCAGTTTTGACAAGAACTGAAAGAAAAGACGTAACACTCACAGAGCTACAGTTTCACACAGTAACCGTAAGGCAGAAAGTACAGTATGAAAGATCAGATGAAAGAACAGAATCCTTAGTATTTCACTCATTTTTGCAATCTGGCTGATTTAATTAGACGTGTGTTTTACATTATCTGTCAATCACCGTGTTTCAGTTATTGTGTACATTTTGAAAACCTCACATTTTACCTTTTCTTCCATCTCCGTTGGTTGGCATGTCGTCACCGTGTCTACTGTATTGATGGGAAAAGTGGTCTTACAGCTGTTCAACCACTGTGTGTGAGAAACGCAACTTAATCACAGCTCAAACTACAAAATGACAACACACAGGCTAAGAGCAATATTTCATCTCCTTACAGTGAGAGCCGCCTCCTTTCTGTTGATGTAACTATCCAGATACTCTTGAATTTCCAACACACTGAATTTCATTTTCTCCAGAAGTCCATAAGACATAATCTGTAGAAACACTTCAGCTATTGATTCTTTTTTTTCTTTTATCGCCAACATGTTAGGACATTCAAGATTATAGTCCACTTACTGTGTCAGTATCAATGAGTAGAGTTGGGCACTCTGAGCATGAAGCCAGCATCTCTGAAGACCTCAGGAACTTTGATCCTATTCCTCTCAAGCCGTCCCCCAGATAATTCACAGCATCGCAGGTCAGGGAGCAAAACTTAGTTTGGATACTCTGCAAACCAAACGAACACACTGTCTGACACACAAGCTTATGTATTACATAAAGTATTTACATTCTTCTTTTAAATTTTCAGAAAATTTCTGCTATCAGATTTGTTCAGTTGCCTGAAAAACATCTGGTTATGGAATCTCAGAGGAGAATGAAGCTAAGAGCATCCTTGGATTGGCATGGGTGTCTTGTATCGCATACCATACTGTACTAAACTATTTGATGAGTCCCTGTTTTCACATGAATCTGTGCTGCTCTGTTTTGTTCTGTTTGCATTTTTTCCTTCATATTTACTTCCTCCTTTACTTTTACGCAATTTGAACTGTTGGACTGCACAGAATAGAGCTGACGATACCTGAAAGAGTGAAGAAAACACTTGAAACGTGTAGACTGCACAGGAGCCATCTGCATCGCAGACGAGCTGGTTGATGTGACTCCGCCAGGCCTCCTCTGCGTCGTCACACACTGCTGGTTGGAAAGCGGCAAGAATGGCCGAGAAGAAGGGCAACGGCGGGGGCGAGGAGCTCGAGTCCAGCATGTCATCTCTGTCCTCCTCCGCAAGACTGAACAGACATGGATGCTCATTAAAAAACACAAAACGAGCAACATTTTATGCCAAAGTTTTTAGTGTGTATTGAAACTGTGAATGGGTACCTGGGTAAACAGATGTCAACATCTGGCCCTGCTTTGTCACCATTTTCAACCAAACTGGACAAACTGTCCCCACATTGACATTCAGGAGGCAGTTCACTGATGCAGAGAGAGATTTCTTCCTCTTGGACACTGTTGTCGTCATCATCTTTTGAGTCCTCATTCTGAAAGAAAAACGAAACATCAGCAACAAGTAAAATTAATTAGAGTCATAAATAAATGAACCACAATGCATTTCATTATTTATCACTTCTTGAGTCTGTATCATTAAACTGATCACGGTGTGGCTAAAACACACACTAACCTTGGCTTGGCACCCTATGGACACTCCTTTTGATGTTTTCTTTGATTTGGTTCATTTATTGTGAATAAATTATGCCAATCAAATCAATTTTTAGAATTTTAACTTGGCCAGCAGTGCACACTTTTTTTTTTTGTTTCACACAGGCAATGTGTAAACCTTTTCTGACCATCCACATGCCGGGAGTTTTTAGTTATTGCCCAGAGCCACCCATAAAGAAGCAATAGGTATACACATTGCCTTAAACAGACAAATGAAAAAGAAACAATTTGTTTGTAATGCAGGCTAAAGATCTCCCTCACTCTCCCAAACAATCTCTGCCACAAATAAAGAAAAGCCCAAACGATCCCACAGCCCAGCGTACTACAAATAATCTGCTTGCAGGTTTTAGTTCAGTCTCCCTTTGCATGCAGTTTCTAATTTACCAAGAAAAGATCAGCTTGTGCGCTTCTCTAAAACCAGGAAATGCAGAAAAGTCCAATTCAGAGACATGCGGTAACATTCAGGACTGGACCTACAGCACATTTAACATCCAATACATCACACAAAGAAAAGAAGCAAAAGGATAGCTCCTATTTGGCTAATTTAGTAAAGAGTTCAAGTAAGGAATTGCGACAAGAATTAGTAGTTCCCAGGATCTCAGACACTCTGAAGCACTTATTCACCCGCTGCTTCGAGTCCTCTGACACTTGGACCTCGAAACTGGGATTTTTGGTGCTCAGAGGAGTTGAATCTGCTGACGTTTGGTCAAAAATGCCATAGGAGGTGTCCATGCTACTGATCTCTGCTGTTGGAGATAGGTTGATACTCTGCAAAGAGACAAAAACAACCTTTTAAAAATAAAATAAAAACTTTTACTCAAACCAAGGTAAATTCTCAACAATAGAGCTTTTACAAACTTAGACTCAAACACTCTGAGGAGAGCGTTTTATCATGGGATGATAGAAAAATAAAGGAAAATGATAGAAAAAAAAACTGGGTTAAGTCTAAAACAGCTACCTAAATATAAACTTACGAGCTGAGAATGAGAGAGTATCTGACTGACGGTGAGGGAATCCTCCTCAGAGGACTCATCTGAGTCTTCATGAACAGCCTTGCTGAAGCTGGGCGTAATGCTGGACAGCAGGCAGTTGTCCAGAAACTGCAGGTCACTTTGGTCCAAACTGTCCACAGAGCGCCGACGCACACCCCAATTAAAGTTGTCCACAGTCTCTCCCTGCAATAGTCAACAGCTCAATTTTACCAGTACGCTGACAACAATATAATCCAATACAACCATGCAGTTTATTACAAAGCCTGTGTGTTATTAGATTATCAGACTCCTATAAAAATATTACTGGAAGTTTAAATAAGCTCCATTTTGCTTACGAAAGTGGTGGGGTTGCAAATATTTACAGGTTAACAGCCTTTAAACCAGAGTGCCATTTTGGTCATTTAGAATGTTTTTGTTTTTTTTCCTCACTCGCTCTTGTGCAAGATGGATGCATTTCTTCCTTCTCCCCTCCTCCTCCTTCTTTTTTGCTCTCTGTCTTGTGTATTGGAGCTCCTATTTACACATCTTCTGAAACGTAAACTACTGTCATGGATCTGGTCAGCTGGACTTTTAATGGAATCGCTAAAAATATTTTCAACAAAGCGACAAAGAGTCCTGGAGAGCCCTCATGCCCCGCTGAGAGGCATGCGGCAGGATACGTCATGGATCCGATGTGCCTTTCCATATCGTCTCAGGAGGATGCCTAAGATATTGGAATCATGATAGCAGTGTTTTTGCTTTTTGGCACCGGCAGATACCTATGTTATCGGCTATTAAAGAAGACGTCGGCAGCAGTTTCTGATTAAAAGTACCAGCAGAACTCAAAGCTGATGAGAAATAACAGTCTGCCTGAAACAAAATCAACAACTGTGGCTTTTCTGAATCTGACTCCCCCATTTGGCCTCGAAGCAGGCCGACATCAAATTTCTCCTGGGAGATGTGTAAACTAAGAAGGTGCTGTCTATCGCAGAGAACTTCTGTGAACGCTGATCAGAGCTGTACCGACTGACACTAACATCTTAACAGGACTATGGTGCTATCTGGAAGTGCTTCATGGACAAATCTCATCGTCTTGTCGTCAAATGCATCTGTGTTTATGAATGTGGTTGCTGGTAGAGTTTTTTTGATGTCTTAAAATGTGTCCTAATAAGGACAAGATGTGAAGAGATCTTTTTTGTAATACCACCATCCTCTCCTCGTGGCCTTTTCCCCACTTTCCTATATAAAAGAATAAGGGACTGCGCTCTTGGAGCAGCAGCAACGTGCACTCCGTCCATCTTTTGGACGACTGTACAAACATAATCTCACTGTGTTTCGGTACAATGATAATAAAGATTATTCTGATGCTGATTCTGATTAAGTCAACAAGACCCTGAAAATGTCAAATTTACAAATTTCAGCAAAGCTCCATCTCAGCATGTCAAACGGGGGAAACTTTCTGTAGCCATTAAAATCAAGTCTTTGTATTGATTTTAATGTCTTTCATCAATTGTGGCCAGTTTTGAGACTATTTCTTCCACCGCCTATATTTGAATGGTCATTCTTAATTCTTAAAAGAAAGAAGGGTGTGATCCAGTGTGCGAGCATGCAACATCAACATGATATATACCTTTATTCTAAATGTTGATTGGTTATAGTTAGCAGATGTCAACAGTTCTGTAACTCATGAATCTAAAGGTGGGACTAAACGACTGTGATGTATGCTACAACTAAACAGAACACACAGTGCGTTCAGAATCTTTCTTGTCAATAAATGTGACAAAATCAGTTTTATAAACAGTGCAGCATGCTATATTTGGTGTTTCTGCCATCAGCTCGGCAGCTGTTATTTTATCTGCACGAGCAAACACAGCAAGTGCAAATGCAGCATGACTAAACTCACCTGGAGCTCCTAGATAGCATAGACAAAAAACAAAACAGAGACAGAATCTGTTACATAGAACGTTTGAGCCTCACTCAGCAGAACACTAAAGTACTCTTCAGAAAAATGAACATCTGTTTATTCTTTATTCTCACTGCTGTTGCTTTTGATGTATAAGCTGTCCAATGGAACATAAGATGACTCACCTCTCCATCTTCAAGCTCAACATCCAGAAAGTCAAAGTCTCTGAAGACTCTGAACTGCTGCTCCGAGGTGGTGTCGTCTGTGTTCTCCAGTTCCCGGGTCCCCTCGTCAGAGGACACCAGGCTGGGCTGGTGCTCCATGAGGTCCAGTTCCCCACAGCTGGAAAAGATGACCTACACAGAGAATGAATGAATAAATAACTAAATAGAGTTAAATGCAAAACTAAACATGGCTGAAAATTAAAGTGCTGCCAAAGCTCCCTTCACATTACCGAAGGGTTTTTTGTGAGTCCCACTTCTTGTCCACACAGAGATAAAACATGCACCAGTTTTTCTCTTGTTCTTTTCTGCAAAAGATAAACAGAAATATTTTGAGTAATTTGACTTCATGTAAATTATGTCAAACATATTATCATGTATACTCTAAATTGTCCCTGGGTGAGAGCATGAATGAATGTTTGTCTCATTTGTCTATGTGTCCCTGTGAGGGACTTGCAACCTGTCCAGGGTGTCCCCCGTCTCTTGCAGAGTGACTGCTGGAGATGGGCACCAGCTCCCCGCAAGGGAAAATAAAAATGGATAGATCTTATCACATGTAACACAAATTGATTATTCATGCTACGCTAAACTAAAATAAGAGAAGCTATGATGCATTTTGTGTCATAATCGGTAATCGGTCCTCTTGTCTGTGTTCCTTGTGTTTCTCCTCTCTTATTTCCTTTTTCTGATCTTTGGGTTTGTCTCTATCATGTGGTCTGTCCCAGCTCATCCAGTCCCTGTCTTCTTCACCGGTTGTCCCTCCCAGCCGTTTGTCATTTGTCTCGTCAGTTTTTGTGTATTTAAGTCTGCGTCTCCTGTTCTTTAGCTTCTGGGCCTTTTCTCATGAAGGCTCCTTGCTCATGGTCCACGTTCTGCACGACGTCCTGGTTTTTGTCTCCCTTCGAGCCCTCCCATGATTCATGGAAGTTGTTGCTGCCACGTCAGCCCTTTTGTTTATTTTTTCATTAAATAACTTTTACTTTAAACCCAAGTTCTCCTGGTCCTGCCTGCATTCTAGGTTCAACCACCACCAGACCATCAATTTTTTTATTTTTATATAAACTAATAAATGGGCTGGGCTGCTGTTGTTACGTCATATTGTTTTGCATTATTAGTGTTTAGAGTATAACTTAGATCTTTTGGTGTGCCGTATGGCATTCGTTTGGCGTATATCTTAATGTATATCACAGATCCTTATGCACAGTTTCTATTTACACTTTATATTTTTGCTATTGTTGGGTGTAACTGGGACTCTGTGTACATAATTTCGTTCCACCTCATGTACCACCTGTGGGGAAAAGACAGTAAAATTGACTTGAACTTGGAACAAAAGTCTGCTTTCTAACCTGCGAAGACTGAGGCCTCTTCCAGCTGACTGGCACCAGGACGTTGGTGGAGGTGAATCCAGAGGAGGTGGAGGAGGTGCTGTGGGTCACTGCCGTTGTGACGCTCTTTGTGTCATGGCCTGGCGAGCGCTGCAGATCATCGAAACGCCGACCGATCACTGGTGTCTAAATGCAAACAAAGAGACGCAACCACAAACTTTGACGATTCTGGAAAATTTGAGGAGGAGAAAGTCCTTATCTGGTTTCTCCATGAAGCTTCCTGCTTTGTCTGGAATGACTGTGGTGCGATCAGAGCTTTACCAACACATACTGCCTGCAAACATGTCCCTGGTTCACATACAACAGAAAGGAGCAAAGACTTGACATCATTTCCTGCCATTCAAGAACTACAAATAACTCCCTGTTCTGTTCCCACACACAAACACCCCTCTGCTTATGTTTTCATCTCTCTCCAGCACTGTCCCTGTTGGTTAGGAGTTACCTTTTGTGCTTCAAAGCTAATCCCAAGAGAACTCATTAATAATAAATACAAGCAACAAGGAAAGGGAAGAACTGTGTCCATTCCAAAAAGACAAACTCAGTAAGCACCACACCCTGGAAAATATTGAAATAAAAATACAAGGCCCAAAATAGAAACATTATCCGGGCGACAGGATAGAAAGACTTAAAAAAAAAAAAACCTGGGAAAAGAGAGAAAGAGGGAGAGACTCCTACTTCAGATATATCAAAGTGGAAATCCAGAGTTTTCCCAGGCAGGGCCTTGGAGGAGCAGTCCCAGATGCGGCTGATGTCCTCATAAGGCAGGTCACTCTGGGACGAAGGCTGCACCAAACTGGCCGATCGAGAAACCACCATTTTCAGGATATTCAGTGCCTCCCGCCAATGGACAGTCTGCAGCAAACAAAACAACAAAAAAGAGAGATATCCAGACATGGGTATATTTTTTAATCATTTCAAAGAAAGAAAAACCTGCAAAGGTCACTGAAGTAACTTGAAATTAAACGTAATATAACAAAGAACCATGAACAACAACTGATGGTTCAGCACAGTTGTTAAAAAGCAAACTAATGAATTTGTCCTTGGATAAGATTGCACCATTGACTCATTTTGTTACACACCCTTTGGGGCAATCAAGCTATTTCTGTAGCTCTCTGGGTCTTTTGCACCTGTTGACAGGTGTTTTGGTGCACTCCTTGTGAGCAAACCACTCCAAGCTTAAGTCATTTTAATAACCATTGTGTTATTTTTATTTCTGTGGGTACAAACAAACGTTTGCCATATGGTACAAAAATATATATCTGTAAGTTTACTAGCACATGATGGCAAAACTAACCTGTGCAAAATCATGTTTTAAAAACCATACATGCCTTTTGTAGTTTTTTAATGTTGCTCTTTTTGAAATCAAAGACACTGAAGAAATAAGATGTCATATGAGACCTAGAGAAATTGCATTTCCTGTGAAAATGCAGTGTGAATATTTATTGCTGAAGAAATCGCTGAAAAACAGCTCAATTAGCTTTAAAAACATGCTGAAAAGTAGCTGAATTGAAGAACAAGCTTAAGTTAGCAGAATAAAGCAGGAAGAACACATATTTGCTGATTTAGGTTTAACTAAGCATAAGTACAAAAATTATGACATTAACTAAAAAGAAGCTGAAATCAGCAAAAACTAGCTGAAAACTAGCTGAAAAGACTGAAACAAGCTTAAACTACCAGAATGAAGTGGAAAGAGCTGAAATGAGCTAAAAAATGTCGAAGTAGCTGAAAAAGCTAAAACTAGTATAAAAACAGTTAAATAGTAGCTGAAATAGCAGAAAAGGCTGAAACTAGCAGAACAAAGCTGAAAGGAGCATAACATGCTGAAATTAGTGGAAAGAAGTTGAATAGGCTGAAAGTAGCAGAAATTACTACAAAAAACTGAATTTATCTGAACACAGCTGAAATGAGCTAAAAATTGCTAAATGGTAGCTGAAAAGGTAGAACAAGCTGATCAGAAGAAAGCACAAAGAACATGTTTTCCCAATTAGACTGAAAGAAGCAGAAATGAGCACCAAAAAGTGGAAATTATCTGAAAAAAGCAAAAAAAAACAAAAAGCAAAATGTGAAAGGAGCAGTAAAAGGTTGTAAACAGATCTAAAGATCTGAAGGATGTAAAATGAGCTAATTAATTTTCTATGAGAAAAAAAGTCAGAAAGGGCTAAATATTTCAAAAAGCTAAAGTTGCACTATCAAAAGTCATTGCATGATTGTCCTGAAAGAGCTGACCATTTTGATATATGATTAGTTGAAATGCCTTGAAAACTGCGGGATGAGAAACACACTGAAAAACGTACAGAAGAAAAATGGATCACAATAGAGTGAACGCTTCATAAACATTCACACTATTAAGACCTGACTTTCAGCAGCCTGTTCAGGCTTGATGGGTCTACAAATGTACAGAGTTGACATAAAATAATTTTTTTCCTCCAGTTGTTATAAACATTTGTGCAAGAAACAGTGAATACAGAACTTCTTTTGTCTTCCGGTTTTGGAACCCACTATAGGAATTAAATCTGTAATTCGGTTGTTAAAGCTTTAACTCACTTGGACAAACTTCTCTATTGTCTTGAGGACCTCCATGTTGAAGGGTTTGGCTTGAACGTCGCTCAGCTCCATGTGACTCAGGAGGCTGTAGATGATTTGTAAAAGTGTCTGCTGCATACTGGGGAGACCTTTCTCTAGCAGCTGTGGGTTAAACAAAAATCACCTAATGTTGTGTACCCAAAACACAAAGATTATTAAAAGAACACAACAAAAACAAGATCCGCTGCACAAACCTCTGCCATGTAAGTGACCAGACTCAGCGTGATGTCTGAGAAAGCTTCATGAAGATACCGACACACCACGTTGACCCAAGAGAAGCAGTCTCGTGTATAAGAGTGTGTTTTATACAGAGTCATGACATGAGCCAGGTTGGACAGCTTGGAATTCTTCTCCTCGAGGCAAACCTGTTGAAAACAGAGCAGCGATGTCAAAAATACAGAAAAAACATCTGAAAATCTGAAGAAACACCAAACAAAAGCAAACCTGAGCTATCTTCTCTGCAGCAGCTTGACAAAACGCTGTAGGTGCATCAAAGTTCTGCACAAGATGTGGGAGCAGGCAGAGAACGTTCAAGGGAAAACCTTAAAAAGCCAGAAATATGTCTCTTTAGTCTTCTAATGTTTCACAAGCCCTCTAAAAAATGAAAAGACCAACATTCCTTGAAGGAATACAGTATATCATGGAAATGATGCTCGACTACCACCACACCAAATTTCAGCTCAATATACAGTAATAGTCATTTTTGGGTAGGATAATATCAATTAGCTGTGGTGGCCATCTTAAACTGCAGTGACTCCAAATATCAATCAGTTGTAGATACACACCCATTGATTACTTTATGACAGTTTGATTTAGGTCTGCCCAGGGGTTAACAAGATATTTTGCTAACAGACAAATTAGGTTTATGCCAACAGTTATGGCACTGTTGTAGGTAAGTTATTGCAGAATGTGCAGAGATTAAAGTGTGTTGAGAGTGAAACTCAACTACTACCACATACATTTTTTTGTTGAATGTGAAAATGACTGAGTTAAAGACAGATTTGTGTTTCATAAGATTAGTTGGTTGCTGCGGCCATCTTGAATTAGGTTGATTTCGAAAGTTAATCAGTTGAAGTTGAACACCCAACAATTGTTTAAATGAAAGTTTCATTAAAATGCATCCAGTGGTTTATAAGTTATTTTACTAACGCTACAGACAAACAGGTAAAAACATTGTTGCTCCTCCATCTTTAATGGTTCCCAACACTGGTCCTTGAGGGACACCATCCTGCATTTTTTAGT